TAAAATTATATGAATTGTATATTTCAGGGTTGGTTCAGTAATGCAGAGCTGTACTATGGCACTTACACAAATTGCAGTATAAGTTTAGTTGATGGGCAGATATACAACATGCCTGGAGCATACTTCTTTCTAGTCTTTGTTGCATTTTGTGTGTACCTTATTTCCATCCTCCACAGGTATGTTTTCCATAATGTATTCCATTGTTAAAGTTTTATTTCCCTTCCCCCCCTCCCCCCCCCCCCCCCTCTCTCTCTCTCTCTCTTTCTCTTTATTTTCTGTCTCTATTTCTTTTCTCTCTATATTTCTCCCCTTTCCCTTTTCCTTGCCATTACCCTTTCTCTTGCCACTTCCCTTTTCCTCTTCATGTTCTTTTTCCTTTTCCTTTGACTTTTCCTTTTCTTTACCCTTACTCTTGTTCTAACTTTCTCATTTCCTTGCATGAGAGGTATATACATGAAAACAAATTTTTAATGTACCTGTCACTTGGTGTATATGTGATATACTATTGTTATATAGTTTTATATAGTCATTCATTTTAAACAGAGTCATCGTTCTATATAAGAACAACTATATAGATACGGAGCATGATGTAACATCAACATTTGTCAAGAAAGTGTTTTCCTCTTGGGATTTCACCATCACAGAGAGGAAAGCTGCAAATATTAAACACAGGAGTATTTATAATGAACTCACTGTAAGTTGCTTGAGAGAAGTGCCAAATGATTATTAAATGCAATTGTCCAGTAATATGTAGAAATGGCAGACCTCTGAAAGTAATCATTTATACAATGAAACTCATATTTTGGATGAAATTTCAATAAAATTTAAACCACCAGGAGTTGCTTCAGGAACTGCAATGTGAAGACATTGATGAAGATCTCTGTACCAGGATTGTATGGCTCACTGTCAAACTAGGGTTTTGGGCTTTGATCATAGGATTCCTAGCACTGATGGGCTGGGCCATGTACATCATGCTTAATGAAGATATTCCTTCAAGCGTGGTAAGATTATGCTATGTGCTGACTTATGCTGTAACAAAAAGTTTGGTAATTACATATATTTTCATATTTAAAATGACATGAATTATTGCAAGTATCTTACAAATCAGGTAGATAGGAAAATTGTGAAGAGTAAATGAATGAGCTGGAAACTGTTTTGCAATATCTAGAAACCATTTTATATTAAAGTCCTTATATGTTCGTAATTTGCATTAGATTTATACATTCTGTTGTTAACCCAATGCTGGCGGGCATGGCATGTATGTACATGCCATAGTCACTATGAGTTTACTTTATTAACTGTTTTTGCACATAGATGGCAATACTTTTACTAAGTTGCCAAAGAGCCAATTACGAGAACTGCCTGTCTTGCCCATTAAAAAAAATCCCACCGGCATGTGGTTAAATTAATTAGGTTTCTTTGACCAAATGCTACTTTCTGTTATGAGCAGGTTTAGTTAAGTTTTCTACTTTTTTTTTTTTTTTTTTTTTTTTTTTTTTTTTTTTTTTTAAGACTCCTCCATTCATTCATGGACAGTCATTTTAGTAGAGCCATATTATTGTATTTTAAGACGAGTGATTCTTTCATATGGATCTATTTTAATGTCTAAAAAGTGTAGAGTGTTTACGTAAATAAGAGGGTCTCAACATTTAGTCTGGTGATATACTAAACTATTTCCTAAACTTCTGCTAAGCACTAACCATATAATCTTAAACAAGTTTGTTATATATGTCTAGGTTTTATTTTCTCTTGAAAGTGTACATACTGTAAATGACTTGTGTCTGCCTTGATGTACAAAGTATTTACTTTCATATATGTTTTCATGTTTTCAACCTGAAGCTGTCCACATTTTTCCAGTGTTTGAGACTAAAAGAAGAGTATATTAAGAGGCAAGAAAAAAACATCCTCAAGATATTATACATCAGACTTGCAGGGGAGTTACAACACATTTATGTGTGTTACGATGCACAAGTTGAGAGCCACTGTTGTAGATTAGTTTGCCAGTTATGCAGGCCATAACATACAGATATTTGGTGTTGGGAAGATTGCTGTAGACTATCCCTGTCTCTTGATTAGGTATTCAATTTAAACTATGAAAAATATTTAAAAGAATAAAACAAGAGTGAAGAAGGACACTCCTAAGGGAAGTGTCCTTTAACATTGGGCTTTTTATTCAGAAAAGATAACATTTTTGTCCCTTCTTAAAACATTAATTTAAGCCAGCTGTGGTTTCAATTTTGTTAGAATCTCAGTATAGTGGAATCTACTAAATATAGACAACAGCAACTAGTACTTTACTGTAGGTCACATAAGAAAATACTGATATATGGTGCTGTGTGATCCAGCCTCTATAATTTTTTAGATGATTGTAGCATGCAGAGAACATGATCAGTATGATTCTGGCTGTATAACCATTATGCCTCCAGAAGAAGACTCAGATATTCACTCTTTGCTAGTGAGATCCAATTTATGAAGTTTCAACCATTGTTATAACATACCA